TATGCGAGTTTCATCGACACGCTCTGGACCACAATGGCAATTCTGTGGATGGAGATTGGCTGCCGAAAGCCCGCATTAATTTGGACCCCAATCCCGTCTTGGTTTATCGGTAGCAAGCAGGCAGGCACTGTGCAGTAGTCCAAAGGTTTCCCGGTTGTTAATTAGTGTATGCGCGAGCGAGGCGACAGACTGCGTCGCGTGAGAGTGTGACGGGAGTGATTGTGATTGACGGCTGGCTGCCAACAATTTGTCTGGCTAATCATCGAGGGGCAGCGAGGAGGGGCCTGATAGCCAATCCAGCCGACAATGCTCAAGAAGGTAAAGCCATCGTCCGACGACGTCTGCTTTGATTGAACAGGCGGGATATCCATATTGTTCTGTTGATCGACACACCATGGCCTCTGCTTCGACTAAAGAGTCTTGATGCATCGGGGGCGGCCCCCGCTTGGTGCAGCAGACACAGGCGAGAGCCAGGGCGGGATGCACGACGCAGGACGCAAAGGAGCAGCAGCTCAAGTCTGCTTGACGACGGACGACAGTCGTCAGCGACATGGGAGGCAGGCTCGAGGGCACAAGCAGCGAGCTTTGGGTGCAGGGCAGGGCATCGAATGGCAGCCCAAGACACAGACGACACACCACCAACCGCAGGACAACCCCTGTCGTCTCTCTCACGCCCCCATGCTGGTTGATGCATCGCAAGTGCCCTCCCAAATCTCGTCGCCCGAGAGCTGCGTGTTACTGGCCAGACTCGGGGTCACTGTGCACCCAGAGCCAGCCTTGGATGCAGTGGGCGACTCAACACACAGGCGATGAGTGAACATGACACTAAGCTTTGTTGGCGAGGTGGCTGCGTTGCGTGGTTTTGATCATCAGGTACCTGACGCGTCTCGAGGCGAGAAGTTGAGGCAAGGAAAGTCAATGTACTGGATGACTGTTGACTGAGTCGGAACAGCGGCATTGCTTTTGTTGTCTCGTTTTCGTTTTTCCGTCGCAGAGGTGCTGTTCTCTCCCGGCAGGACGTTATGCGTATAGACATATCCGTGGGTGGATTGTTTCCGGTAGACCTGCTCCTGTTGGCTCGTCAGGTCAGGCTGTCCTGTCCAGGTCTCATATGTCGTCCTCTTGGACCGGCACGGCGATTTCGGTCCATGCTTCAAGGCCGATGCCGTTCCTGAAAATACCAAGGTGGGAATGGCAAAACCTCAGACGACTCAACGCAAGGGACTCCGTGATGTGGCGCGCGTAATCGTCCCGTGTGGCACACATTGGAGAGAAAAAGAGAGAAGAAAATTCAATGGCCAAGCGCGGTCCTCTTCTGCTTCCAAGCTTCATCCATTGACTCGTCGCTCTGGTGCCGGTTGACTTTGGGTTCGTGCTCTCGAGGCGACGGCAGGTACAGCCCAAGCGACCTGAACCTGGGTAAGGTAGGTAGGTATTGATGTAAGGCGCAATTAAGGCAATGGAAGAGCCCCTGGCAGGGTGATGGAAGACACCGACGGGATGCTCGAACTCTGTAATAGCAGCTAGAGCATGACGGACGTAGGTGCAGATGGGATGAATACCCAAGGATGGTCAAGGTACACCTTCCTTGGGCAATTACGTGTGTTGTGTTGCGCGCGGTGCAGCATTCAGCATTCACACAACCGCAGCAGGGCATTGTCATCTCAGGCAGGCTTCCTGGTGTCGTCGATTGGAACTTGGCCTTGGAATTAGCGCCCAAGCTCAAGTCCCTCGTCCCTCGTCCCTCGTCCCCCGTCCCGCCCGCTCCCCGCCTTTTTTCACCCACTTGAATCCCACTCTCAGGCGCTCCCAAAGACTGTGACCTTGGACCTTGGTCTCGCCACAACTCGTCGGGTCCCTCTGGAGTCTGTCTGGTCTGGTCCCCCCTCCCCTCGGTCGGTCCCTGTCGTCCTGCTTCGGCCTGCTTGCTGCTGGTCCCTCACCAAGTCCCTCCAAGGAAAAGAAACCCCCTCTTCCAGACCCCGGTCCCAATACCAGACGTCGGGCCTGAAGACCATAGAAACCGCGTACGCATCCACGGCCGACTGCATTTCTTCCACCCTCTCACCACCTTCCAAGGCCAGCTCCAACACTGTCCGTTCCGATTTCCGACCTCGACTATTATTACGGTGGGCAGATACCGAGACCTACCTCCATTTCAGCCTTGATCCGTCCCGAGGCGACACCTAGCGGGGAACGCACGCTGCTGCTTATCGTATCGCCTTTTTGGTCGTCAAAGTCGTCGTCGTTTCTTCCTTGCATGTTTCCCGTCTTCCACTCGCTCCGACACCCATATTCACGAAACCGCCTCAACGGCCGACTTCGACGGGTACTAACGCATTCTGCCCTGAGCCAGAGGAACCACCCGTCCGCGAATCCCATTGTCTAGCCCCAACTGCTACGTCAGCTTTTCCTCCCACAATCCCTCGAGCACGCTACCTTAGCTCTCGTCTTTCCGCCCGTGCCCTGTACCGCAGCGACCACCATTCGACCTACATCCAACTACGTCGTTGGGTTGCTTGGCTTCGGCCCTTTTGCGACTTTGTGGAATCCTCTTGTGTATAACCCTCCCCAGCTTCAACAACCACCTTCTGGGCGCCCCAACATCACATCGCCGTAATGGCCGACCAAAACTCTTCACAACCACAGACCATGGACCCTCCTCAGCAGGTAAGCTTCCCGCCGGCATCCATCTCACCGGCCCTCAACACGCACGCTGACTGACACCACGCAGGCTCCAATCCCTTCTCCCCTCTCTACGCCCGGATCCGTCCCCATGATGAACTCTCCCGTTCCTCTTCTTCGTCCTGCCATCCCCGGATCGAGACCCGGCGGCGGCGCCCGCACACCGAGACTCGGTCTCGCGATTCCCCCTTCGCCAAATGCAAAGCCCGTCGGCGGCACTGCGCCCCAACCCGTAAACTCTCGACCTCCTCTACCGACCCTTCACCTTGCAACCCCCATGGGCAGCCAGACAACCCCCTATGAGCAGCCCCAAAGGCCAGTCGGCGTGGGCCAGTCAGCCAGCGGTGGCAGCGAGAGCAGCGCGGCCCACTCTAGGTCAGGAAGCTTCGGCCCTCTGGATGGCAGGGCCAGCAACCCCACATCGGCCGGATCGCAGTACTCGGCATTGTCGTTTGCCTCACAGTATGGTTTCGGTGCGCCGCCGAGGGGAACGCCCGACCCGTCGTCTGCTGTCGGCTCCATATACTCGGAAAGAAGCGATGGCGGCGTGGGTATGGAAAGAGATGGCAGCTTACAAGGTCTGGAGGGCTTTGACAAGCTGTCATTGGAGCGCGGCAGGACGTTGGATGTAGAGGAACTCGACGCAGATGGGTGGAGGGTTGCAAGCTTGGAGAAGAGAATCGAGGAGCTCGACTCTCTCGGCGAGGGTGCCGGTGGTGCCGTCACAAAAGCCAAGCTGAAAGGCGGCAAGACCATCTTCGCCCTGAAGGTGCGTAAATATGGACACCACACTTGAACTAGACTGACACTCGCAGATCATCACCACGAATCCCGATCCCGACGTTAAGAAGCAGATCGTGAGAGAGCTCGGTTTCAACAAGGAGTGCGCGTCGGAGCACATTTGCAGGTACTACGGCGCATTCGAAGACAATACCACGGGCACCATCTCGATTGCCATGGAGTTCTGCGAGGGTGGCTCTCTCGACAGCATCTACAAGGAGGTCAAGAAGCTTGGAGGTCGTACAGGCGAGAAGGTGCTTGGCAAGATCTCCGAGGGTGTCCTGCGCGGTCTGACGTACCTGCATGGCATGCGCATCATTCACCGAGATATCAAGCCCTCCAACATCTTGCTATGCAGGAACGGAGACGTCAAACTGTGCGATTTCGGTGTTTCAGGAGACTTTGGAACAAAGGGCGAGGCAAACACCTTCATCGGTACGAGTTACTACATGGCCCCTGAGCGAATCACTGGCCAATCATACACCATCACATCCGACGTCTGGTCGACCGGCGTCACCCTCTTGGAGGTGGCACAACATCGCTTCCCCTTCCCCGCCGACGGCACCGAGATGCAGCCTCGCGCCGGCCTTATCGATCTTCTTACGTACATTGTGCGGCAGCCCATCCCCAAGCTCAAGGACGAGCCGGATGCCAACATCTTTTGGAGTGACAACTTCAAGTACTTCATCGAGTGCTGGTGAGTATAACTCGAGAACCGTTTGAGCTATGACTAACACCTTGAAGCCTAGAGAAGGAGTCTACCCGGAGAGCAAGCCCTTGGAGAATGCTTGAGCATCCCTGGATGGTCGAAATGCGGTCGAAGCGCGTCAACATGGCCAAATACCTCGCACAGGTATGGGGCTGGGAAACCAAGTAGGCTTCGTTCAGAAGCGACCAAGTCGGCAATACATGTTCCGGTGCACCATCATCACCGAATTCGCAGAGATGTCTGAATCTTTACACTCGACTGCGTTGCTCGATGGTCGATAGTAGCACATGAGAAGCAACGGGTATTGAGTCAAACCGCAACAATCATAGGCGAGACGAGCCGTCGACGGCAGCCACAACAACGAATTTCACATCACACCGAGCCTAGAAATCTAGCGATCCACCAGCAAGACATGGGGCAAATTTTTTCACAATTAGTAAATACCGCACGGCACAGGACTGCCGATGCCACCGCCTTTGAGAAATCAGGGCTATTTGGACACGAGTCGTGGTATCCGAGACGGTCGGGAGGGGCGGGGTTATCTTCGCACCAGACTGTTGTGTATTGGGTGGTTGTCAGCATGGCATTGTTATCATGACACTGGAGCGATGGCATGTTAAGTATGGTACAATTGAGAAAAAGTACACAATGAATTTTTCAACATTTTCCTTGGCCACGGAACGGGGGAGTCTGGTCATTTTGGCAAGGGCTAGGGCGTTGTACATATTTCATTTCACCCAACAAATCTCTTCAGGGGTATCTAGTCTACAGATGCAAAGTGGGATTGACGAAAGGCCTCTTGAAACGTTTCCTCCAGTGCTCTCTTTCATGACTTTGCAGGGGCTGTCATGACCTCGGACTCGTCGACGCCCATCAGCTCACGCAGGGCGACTGTCGCGTAGGCGCTCTTGGGGAGCTGGAACGTCACCACAACGGCCGTCTTCTGGACCGCCGCCGCATCCGTCTCGGAGGCCTGCGCCGGCTTGTCTTCAGCCTCGGGCTTCTCCTCGGGCTGAGCAGCCGCAGCATCCTCCATCGTCTCGTCGGGCTTCACCTCGGCGTCTTCGTCGGTCTTGGCCTTCTTGTTCGCTTGCTCGTCACCCCCCTCGGCGCGGCCACGCTTCTTGGACGAGGGCGGCTGCTTGGCGCGGATGCGGTCCATGTCCGTTGGGTGCATCTGCTCGTTGTCGTCCGTGTAGGCGCGCACCTCGAAGCGGGGCTCCGCGAGGAAGCGCGCGGTGAGCTTGCGGTAGGCGCCCGGCAGGCTGAACTCGCGGTGGCGGCGGATCATCTTCTCCGGGTCGAGGTCGCCGTTCTCCTTCATGAAGGTCTTGTAGAAGTCGCCGAGCGCGTTGGTAGGGTAGAGCACGGCGTGGCCCGGGGACGGGAGGATCACGTCGTGGATGGTGTAGCGGCCGGAGGCGGCCTCTTCGGCGGTCAGCGCGCGGGCGTCGGCGGTGTCGTCGTCGGCGGCCTCCTCGTCCTCGGCGGTCACGTCGGCCTGGGGCTTCGCGTCGGCGAAGACGAGGTCGCCCTCGACGACCTTGTCGCCGTACAGGCGCCAGCGGTGGCTGGCGGCGTGGTTCCAGACGTAGGACTGGTAGGCGTGGAGGTACATGCTGCGCAGGCCGCGGGTGATGCTCGTCAGGGCGCCTATGAAGTCCCGGCGGGAGGTGGCGCGGCCGAGGTGGCGGATGACGCTGGCCTCGGCGTTGAAGCGGCGCGGGAGGATCTTCATGGCGTCCTGCTCGGAGCCGCCCTGGCGGAAGAGCATGCAGGCGTGGTGGCGGTTGAAGTCGTCGCGCTGGTGGCCCTCGGCGGGAACCTCGCCGGCGGCGGCGCGCTTGGCGATGTCCTCGTCGTAAGAGATGATGGCGTTGATGGCGGACTCGAAGTCTTCCTGGAGGATCATGCGGCCGACCTCGTGCGTGCCGACGGCGTGGGTCCCGAAGCGCTGGTGGCCAAAGTAGTTGATCCAGCCGCGGGAGTGCATGCTCTCCATGGCGGCCTTGACCGAGGCCTCGATCATGGACTGGCGCTCGTCGTGGGGGAGGTCGGGGGACCCGGCGACGGCGCAGTCCTTGAGGGCGATGACGAACTCGTTGCCGGTGTGCGCGCCGAGGTGGATGGACGTGGTGGCGTAGACGTAGTCGCCGGTGGTGACGCCCTTGAGGCGCGAGTTGGCGCGCATGAGGTTGTCGGCGCGGACGTGGCGGACGGAGCACCGCTGCGTCGTCGCGGCGCGGCGGTCCTTGGTGCCGGCGGTGCCGATGGACTGCGGCTTGACGCGCAGGGCGCGCGCGATCTGGTTCGTCGCCTCCATGGTGTCGCGGTTCTCCTTGTAAAGCGTGAAGTGCAGGTACTCACCCTCGCCGGGGGCCTTGACCTTGGGCTCCTGCTTCTTCTTCTGCTGGGGACCTCCGCGCACGCCCCTGCCCTTGCCCCTCGGCGGGGGGATCTTGGCGATGATGGCGCCTGTTGGGTCGGTTGTTGTGTCGATGACGGAGTTGAAGATGCGGCGGACGGCTTGGTGGAGCTGCGAGCGCTGGTCCTTGTCGTCCATTGCGGGTGAGGTGGCGGGCTCGACTTTTGCGGTCTTGTCCGCGGAGATGGTCTGGAACATTGCGACGAGCTGCTTGGCGAAGTCCTCGTTTGTGAGGGAGGTGAGGGTGGCGATGTCTTCAGGAGAGATCTCGGGGATCGTCGGCGCTGGAGCTTCGCTGTTGTCGCCGGTCTCGGGCTGTGGTTCGGGCTTCACTTCTTCCTGCTTCTCCTCTGCGGCCGGTGGCGGAGGAGTGGGCTCCTTGGGGGGCTGCGGGAGCCTTGTTTCTGTGAGATGGAGGACGGAGCCATCTTTGTTGATCTCGTAGACTTGGAAGTCGGTGTATCTGGGCTTGGTTAGTGACGCGGTTGAGTTTAGGGGTTGGGATTGCGCACCTCTTGCGCATGTCGCCGCTCCAAGCAGTCATGCTCGGGGCGATGCGCTCTGTGATGCCGAGAGACGCATCGAGGCGCGTGCCGTTGGCACGGCGGGTTTCAGTCGCCATATTGATGCAATGTTGTCGGGCAAGGTTTGCGATGTAACTGCAAGCAATTTGACTTGTATATCGATAAAAGTGAGTGAATTGGGCTTGTAAGAGTTGAGATGTCTGATGGAAAGGGTCGCGGGGCCAACAGGCATATTTTCAGGAATTGCCGGCAGAAACTGGCGAGTGTGAATGAAATGGCAGGCGGTGTGTAATGATTCCGCCGGCTTGGTTAAAAGAAGAAAGCGGTAAAGCGAATCTCATTGAGCCACTTTTCATATGAGATCCCGCATCTCACTCAATCTCATCGCAATGTTCTGATTTTAAGGTACTTTTCATTTTCAATTCATGCAATTACTCAATCCGCCTTCAGATTCAGGATCTCAATCGCATTCCCACCCATGATAGCCTTCGCTTGCTCACTTCCCTCACCAACAGCTGCTGCCACAGCATCCGCGTTCATGCTGACGCTCTCCCACTCACCCTGCTCATCAGTCGTCAACGGAGGGAAGAAGGGGTGATCTGTACCAAACATGAGCCTGTCGGCTCCGCTCGCGTCGATGGCCGCCTTCAATCCAACTTCGGAGTAGATGACTGCATCGAGGTAGATCTGCTCCTTGAGCACGTCCCAGATCTTCCGGCGACCCTTGCCGACCTTGCCCTCGCGCACCAGCTGTCCGTCGTGCAGGATGCAACTCTCGATTCTGCCGGCGAGGAAAGGCAGCGTGCCGCCGCTGTGAGCGAGCAGCATGCGCAAATCGCGCACCTCATCGAAGACGCCCGCGAGATACATGCGCGCCACGGCGATGGTGGTTTCCATGGGGAAGCCCAGCGCCAGGGGCAGGACATGGCCGTACTCGTTACTCGCCCTCGGGCCCCAGACATCGTTGGGCAGGCCATAGTGCGGGTGCAAGAAGATGGTCAGACCAGCGGCGGCGATGGCTTTGAAGATGGGCAGCAGCTCTGGATCATCGAGACCCTTGCCCAGTCCAGACGTGCCCAGGATGATACCACGGCAGTACTTGACCGCCTTGACGTGGTTGATGGCTTCGAGGATCGTCTCGAGCGACGCAGTCAGTGGAAGGGCAGCGAAGAAGAACAGACGCCCGGGATGCGCAGCGCACATGCGGTCAAACTCCTCGTTGACATCCCGCGCCATGGGCCCCGACTCAGAGGCGTCGATGAAGTCCAGCCATGGGTTCGCCAGGGAAACGACCGAGATGTCGATCTTGTGAGTGTCCATGAAGTGCACCTTCTGCTCGAGCGAGGCATAGTGAGAGGTCAGCGGTCGGCCCGGGGGCTTTGCCGTGGCATCCTTGGTGGCTTCGTCGAGGGCCTGCTGCTCCGAGGCGAGGAGGATAAGGCGCGGATCGGGGTCCTGCGGAAACCGGCGGACAACAGGAATGGTGGTTCGAGACTCGAGAATCTTGATGTACGACGGGGGGTACATGTGCGTGTGGATGTCTACCACCCTCATCGGTGTTGAAGAGGCCATTCTGTCTTTTTTCGCCAAATGCTCAAAGATGTTTGAATTTGTCGTTGTTTGGTGAGGTGCGGGGTATGAAGGGAGCGCCTTGGATATGCTCTGTGCTTGATGTGAGTCTTTGGCTGGAGGATTGAAGATGCGACGTTGGAGGTTGCCGACTTACAGATGGTCGAGGCTCAATTGCGAGTCGTGAAGGTTCTCAGCTAACACGCAATTGCAGGAATGAAAAAAAGACACAACGTCGAGTCTTTGAGACGAATAATTCTTAAGCGCTGAGCATTCTCGTGTTCCTGAGTTAAGTACCAGCTACCCGAGGGCTATGTCTTTACAGGAAGGTGATGAAGTTGCATCCGAAATGCACGTCTCCGCATCAAGTCGCCCACCCCACACGCGGGCGTCTTGCTCCAACTGCGCTGGCTGCCGATTGTTCTACCCCGCCGTTATCTTCGCCGGTCCTTTGCGCGCCGGCCTTATCTTTCCGTCGTCTTTTTGGCGGGGTAACGCTACTCTGTTTTATTGTCTTACACGTTGGTATTATGAGCACAGCGCAGGAGGTCTCCGATGGCCTTGGTCGTGCGACTCGCCCGGTTCGAGCCGACCTATGACCCCTCAGGGATTTGTATGGCTTACTGTTTGTTCCGTCACCTCTTTGCCGGGATCAACAAGGGGCTTTGGCCTGCTGGACTGATTAGATGCCCCGGGCTGAGGTCAATGCCGGCCATGTGGTTGGTAGCCTGGGTATGCACTTTCACAAGGGTCCTGTTGTATTACCAGACGAATATAAGTCACTCAAATGCCCTACCGCACGGATCTCGCTCGTGAACCTTATCGCGACGCCGTGGAATCTTCTACGTCTCAGTCCGAGTACTGGTATCTGGTACACTTGACCACTGACATCTCAACTCTCTGCAATCTCACGGTTTTCGTTTACAGTCTCAGCTGTTCATAACTAAACCACAATGGCGGCCACCGCGGTAGACAAGGAGGGTCTCTTCATTCCCGTGAGTAAGCCAAGCATCACCGACTTCACTTCTCGCTCACGCACCCCCAGCTCATCGACTTCTCCGCCTTCCTCAGCGGCGATAACGCGAAGCGCACCGAGACCGCCAAGCAGATCCTCAACGGTTTCCAGAACGCCGGCTTCATCTACCTCAAGAATGTCCCCATCAGCTCGGAACTCCGCGCTGCCACCTTTGCCAAGTCGGCTGACTTCTTCGCCCAGGAAGACGACGCAAAGACCGCCGTCGGCTGGACCACGCCCGAGGCCAACCGCGGATACTCTGCCCCCGGCCGCGAGAAGGTCAGCCAGTTCATGGACGCCGCCTCGGTCGGCAAGGAGCGCGCTGGCAACCCTGACCTGAAGGAGAGCTACGAGATTGGCCGCGAAGGCGAGCCCACGCACCCGAACCAGTGGCCTGTCGAGAAGGCGGGCAGCCCCGTGGACGGATTCAAGGCTCAGATGCTTGACTTTTTTGGGCAGTGCAAGAACCTCCACGTCGAGGTCATGCGCGCCATTGCCGTGGGCATGGGCATCGATGAGCACTACTTTGACGGGTTCACGGATGTTGGCGATAACACGCTCCGTCTGCTGCACTACCCGTCAGTGAACCCCGAAGTTTTCAAGATCAATCCCGGACAGGTTCGTGCCGGCGCTCACAGCGATTATGGCTCCATCACCCTGCTCTTCCAGGATGACCGCGGCGGTCTGCAGGTGAAGAGTCCCAACGGCCAGTTTGTGGATGCCACGCCGATCCCCGGAACCGTGGTCGTCAACGCGGGTGACTTGTTGGCGAGATGGAGCAACGACACAATCAAGAGCACGATCCACCGTGTCGTCGAGCCCCCGAGGAAGCCGGAGGATGGATCCGAGTACCCTCCGCGGTACAGCATTGCGTAAGTCAGAGGACCAAGGAAAGTGAATGAGATGCTAACGATGTGAAGGTACTTTTGCAACCCCAACTTCAAGAGCCACATTGAGGCCATTCCGGGTACCTACGCGACGGAGGCGGAGAAGAAGTACGAGGGTATTAACAGCGGGCAGTACCTTGTGCAGAGACTGGCTGCCACATACTAGCGGCCTTGGTGTTTTGATTAGCGATATATTAAAAGCGAATTCATCGTGTTTACCAAGGGTAATCTGCAGGTCACTTGATTGTATCGCTTTCTAATGAAGAAGGATCAAAGTTGTATGCCAAAAACATGATTGAGACTGAATCGAAGCATACTTAGAGATGATCAATCAAGAATTACTTAACTTCCTATCGCTCGTGCTTTGACTTTGCTCAGTCATGTGTTGTACATCATCCTGGTCAATTCCATGCTGATAAAGTATTGTGATTTTTAGCCTAAGTCTGTATGTTGCAACTTGGGTGGCTCTTCGGGCTTGGGCTCATCCAGTATTAGCCCCCATCCCCGTAAATGGGTTACAGAATGACAGTACCAGGAGTAGGATGGACACATTTAATGCAAAAACACGAAACCGCAGCCAGGTCTTGACGAGCCGTTCCCTCCAAGGCGTACCAAGAGTCCTAGGTCTTTGGCCCCAGATGGAGATCGGGAGTATATGGAGGCCCAGCAATGCAGTATTGTCCTCGCCAAGTCCCAAGCAGCGAATAAACATAAAGACATCGATAAATGTGAAGCAAACTACAAACGCCAGGTCCAAAGGCCAGTAACGGAATGCGACTTCGTACTCAGATGTATCCACGTTGGACACGTGGATGGCGTATGCGGCATGTCGAGCTTTGAGGCGTATTGCAAAGTAAGAGAGAGTAAATCCGACCAACCCAATAATTTCTGCTTTGCTGACCGTATTGCTGAGAAACGCCCAAGAGAGAATCGTAATGGGGACGAAATAGAATTCTCGCCAACTAAACATGCAACTTTCGTAGACGTAACTGCTTGCGGCGTCCGCGTTCATCCCGGCCCCAGCAAAAAGTCCTCGTGGGGGTGCTTTAAAGATCTGAGTTTGGATTGGCGAACATGATGAATAAGAGCAGAAGATCGTGACAATGAACATTTCGTGCTTCAGGAACGCGTCGCGTCTCACTGTGACTCTCCGAGTTCCATCCGGGCACACAACCAAGTCGCCTGCTTTGGATGTATCGACATTCTGTGACATGTCTTCGAGAGACTGGCCCTTTTTCTTGGCGACGATGTGACAGACGAAAGGTGGTGGAACCATAGTACGCGAGAATACTGCGCGGATCAAGGTCCGCCGCTCGAGGACGACAACGAACCCTTCATCTTGACCGTCGTCCTTTGAGTAGTGCAAGAGAATGCGTTTCCAAGTCTGGTCAGCACCTGAAACGGGGCAAATGCTGCTCCATTGCCTCTTGTCCGCCTCTGTCGGTACTACTTTCACCAAACGCTCGGGTAAGTTCGGTGCAGCGTCGATGCGGACAAAACCACACTTGATACCCGTATTCCAGATCGGTTGCTCAAGACGGTGGTCCTGCTTGTCCTTCCTTATGTAGATGGTACGATACTGCATGCGCCGTGTAGTGCTCCAGGGGAGACCCAATAAGCATGGGGGCTGCTTTGGTCGAATGTACTCATCACTAATGGCGGTCTGGAACAGAGGGATAGCAACGACTTTTGTGAAATCCGTCCCAATTTGACAGTCAAGCAGGCCGTAGGCAAGCTTCTCAAGTTGGAAAAGAGGAAGCGTGATTCGCAGGCCTCGGCTCGTCATTTCAGGCACCGAGCTTGCTCCACCCATCGGTATGGCGGAAATGTTTGACCAGCAAGCGAAGTCTCTGGGACTCCGAGCGAGTAGCCTGTGATACTCAGGTCGATGTGAGACTTCTCGGTAGTACTGCTTGGAGTACTGAATTTCTTGAGGGTCGGCGGATAGCAGGTGTATAACGCTATAATAAATCCGGAAACGCTTGTAGAACACATCCGAAGGATCCTCCTTCAAGGTGGTATCCAGCGGGCTCCACGCAAGAACGGAATCGTCAGTGTTGAGCTTTAGAAGCTCTAGCTGGAGCCTCTCAAATGCGCGATCACCCTCTCCATAAAGAAGCGGCATGTTCACATTGAATATTCCCAGAAGCGCGTACGCCCTATCCTCGATCCTGGTAGTCTCTCTATAAGCTGCCCACGACATGCGGACGGCAATGCTTGCTGAACGAAAATCTTGTTCCCTACGAAGGTAGGCAGTGGGGATATTTGTGATGGCGTTGATATCAGCAGCTAAGGAAGAGCGGTCGCCAAATTGCCTCCAAAATCTGTCGTAGAATAGCACGCATTTGGGGGCGAGCAGCTCTTGCAAAGTCCAGCCTCTCGTGAACCAAAGGCTCTCCTTGAATTCGCCATCAACATCGGGCTGGCCCTCGTCCGCTGGACCTCTGCCTACGTCGTCAAGGTAAGCATAGCAAGCTGAGGCATTCTCGTACCACCGGAACATGGAGTTTATGGCTTCAGAGAGCTCGGCGCTGCTCGTCTTATCGATGCAACAGGTGTCGATCCAGACATAGTCGAAGCTATGCTGCGCAGCCAAGAGACAGAATCCATTGACTTTGGCATATCCTCTCATGAGTTGACAAGCTGGAGAGCTGAGATCTTGGAGTGTGACCTCTTCTTCGCCCCATCGATGAGAAAGTACCGCATAATTCGGGATGTTGTTGAAATACTGCTCCAACTTCCTGGTCTTGACGTTGAGAAGACGCATGTCGCATATCTTGAGGTGTTGAAGTTTCGAAGTTGCAATCGATGCAATGGAAGCGGCGTCAGCTACAGGTATACGCACTTGATAAAGTGGCTGGCTCTTACAGCCTGCCCACCTCATCAGGTGACAGGATTAGCCATGATTGATTGGCCTTGGGATGAGCTACGCGCTCGTTGCCTGCATGCTGTGCCGTAGGTACGCCATAGTGCCAACGGGACAACCCATCAACGGCTACAAGTATCCGATATATTGACTCTCACGACCAAGTTTGTTGTCAAAGCACCAGTGATGACAGACTCCCACAGAAAAGGCATTCTACTTCAAGAAAGGAGAGACATGCTTGATTGAAGTTGCCCTTCAGAAGGGAGTCACATGGGTGGGGTGGCGATGCGGGGGCAGTCGTTCATGCACGCTCGCACTGTCCTCGTACTGTCAGCCGACAAGCCCGTAGGCTGAAGCTAAGCCAGCTGTCCCGAACATACAACTCAAAGCAACCGTCGATGGCGATCACAAGATGAAGAAGACTCTACTTCTTGTGTTTATTCACGGCTTCAAGGTATGTTTTCCTCGTCGGGGCCGTCAACGGAATGCAACTAGCTTCTGACACTTTCACAGGGAGGTGACGACACCTTTGGGGACAAGGATGGCTTTACAGAGCAGCTCCGGGCACAGCTCGCCGCCGCCCTCCCCAAAATCAACGTAAAGCATCTCGTGTACCCAAAGTATGAGACGCGAGGAGACTTGGGAGACTGCGTCAGCCGGTTCCGCGACTGGTAAGCCCAATCCACGCCTTTTGATTCCAAGCCACTGACACCCGGCCAGGCTCCTAGAAAAGGTCATCGACCTCGAGGTCGCGAACGCCACCCCGTCGCCGACGGTTGACCCGTCCGTTAGGATCGTGCTGATTGGCCACTCCATGGGCGGCATCGTGGCCGCCGAGACCGTCGTCGGGCTCACCTCCGAGCACCCCATCTACTCCGAGGACGGGGTCGAGAAGTCGGACAACCCGTCCACCTTCAACGGGCTCATGTTCCCCTACGTCCAGGGCGTGCTCGCCTTCGACACCCCCTATCTCGGCATCTCGCCCGGCGTCGTCGCCCACGGCGCCGAGGGTCACTACAACACCGCCTCCGCCGCCATGACGCAGCTCAGCGGCCTCGGGACGGCCATCTGGGGCGCGAAGCAAGCCGCCTCTCCCGCGCAGAACAAGGCCCCCGTCGCGGCGCTCCCGGCACCGCCCGCCAAGAAGGAGCAGCAGCAGGCAGGTTGGGGATGGGGCAAGATTGCCATGGTGGCCGGCAGCGCGGCTGTTGCTGCGGCGAGTGCCGGGGCGGCGTATTACAACCGCGAGCAGATCACGCAGGGGTTGACGTGGGCGACGTCGCACCTCGAGTTTGTGGGGTGTCTGGCCAAGGGTGCGGAGCTGCAGAAGAGGGTACAGTACATGGTCAAGTTGAACCGGGAGCTCGGTGTTGGGTTTGCCAACCTGTATTCCCGGCTTGGAAAGGCGGCGGGCAGCAAAGAGGTCAGTGTAGTCGGGACGGTGCTCGGCAAGGATCGCACGTTCTGCAATCTGCCCAAGAAGGGCCCTGCCGGGGTGTGGAATGAGGCAATCAATGATATGGCTACCGACGAGACGTTGGCGCATATGAGTAAGTCGTCTGCTACCGACCGTGGAGCTGAGTACTGATACCGCCGCAGACATGTTTGAGGCGAAGCAGAACCCCGGGTACGAGAAGCTGAAGCAGGATGCGGCGTCGCTGATCGTGCAGTGGACAACGAACGACTGGTACGAGACCAGCGAGGAGCCGAAGCTGGCGATCAAGGAGGCGGGAGAAAGTGCGACTGCTTGATGCACGAGAGGGTTCCTTTTTTATCTATATTATTACGAATGTTGCGCCTCCAGAGCAACGAAGGACGCGCTTTTAGATACCGGTTTTGTCTAAATCCATACCCACGTAGCCTCCAAATACCCACCTGTATTTTCTAACCTCGTCTTGCAATGCAATCACTGTGTCTTGGAGAGACCCAAGTCGTCGGCCTTCATCTGGCGCATGACCTTTCTCCTCTGCGCCATCATGTAGGTGTAGAGAATGTAGGAGCCTGTCGTGTGTCAGTTCGAGTCCTTGCTTTTCTCTTGCGCAGCCAACGTACCAGGAACGTAGATGGCCAGGACCATGTAGCCAATGGCCGGGAGCAGCGGGTTAAGCTTCGCGTAGGGGCCGGTAGAAAGGTAGATCAGGGCGCACTCGCTGGTGATACCGATGGGGTACAGCACGAAGAAGGTGTTGTAGCGCAGCCAGACGAGGGGCTTGGGCTGGATGCCGCTGAGGTTCAGGGCAAAGTACGAGTAGCGGATGACCTCGGTGACGCTCCAGGCGAGGAGCATGGACGAGTACCAGGTGCTGCGGGCGAGGTGGGGGAACGGGTAGACGATGCCCCAGACGAGGACGAAGCGGCTGAGGACCTGCATCACGGTCGTAAAGACGGGGGCGCGGACGACTCCTGTACATGATTCCTGTCAGTTCTTGAAGCAGTTGGCTTGGGCGGTAAGGGGATATACCCAGCAGAGCGTGGAGGACCTCCATGGCAGCCAGAGTCTGCGTCCAGCGCGTCCAATCGCCGACGCCGAGGAAGACGAATTGAGGGCCGCGCATGGTGAAGAGGGCGACTGTCCTGCCGAGGACGACGGACCAGGCGATGGCTGAGACGAAGTTGTAGAAGATGAGGTACGCATTCTTCGCGGGCGACGAGGGGCGCCTCTGGGGCTTCGTCGGGACTTGGTCGACCATGATTGCTTGCGGTTGGCAGCTGTGGTAGATTTGGGGTTCGTGTTGCGTGGTGATCGCAGGACTGCAGCTTTGGTGCTTTTGACGGCCAGCGGGTTTGGAGAAGTTTGTTGAGGGAGGTTGAGCTGCAGCAAGGGTTTGGAGTTGGATCCTCTCCCATTCGCTCCCGTCCCACCCCACCATCGGGGCCGAGGCTTCTTGGCCTCTCACCTGGGGGCCGCTGTTTCTGCAGGGCGGCCCACTGTACAAGGTACGCCGTAATGCCCAGTTTGGAGATACAGGGGTCGAGCTCTCTGCATTGTTCATCCCTTCAGAGCGCTGACAGCCTGTGATTGTCTGACCACCCTGGTCATGGGCACAAATGAGTGTCAAGATGTGAGGGGAGAAACAGTTGCGGGAATGTAATCGTGGACTTCGTTATCTATCAATAATACAGATGCATTTTAAACCCCTTGCTATGCTGGAAAGCAAACCCACACTCATTAAGACAGAACATGGAAGAACATCGCCGACATGATGAACACCGGCACCCAGAAGACCAGGGCCCTGGACTGGGCGAGCAACAGACCAGGCGCGGTTCCGTTGTGCAACATGACGACTTGACCAAAGTCGTGCGCGGAGTCGATGCTGCAGACGACCTGGCACTGTCCATCGCCGTCACGACGCGCCAGCTTGCCCTGGGGTCCGTGAGCGTGCTGCGAGTCGGCGGCACCGCGCTTTGTGACGGTGGTGGGGGAGTCAGTGGTGTTGAAGACCAACTCGAGCCATTGCACCTGCAAGACGGCCGAATTGCCAACATCCATCACTCCAGACCACGAGCCGCCGTCGCTCCAGGAGTTGATCATGACACGGCTGGGATCGCGGGGAACCTGGAACTTGATGGTCGAGACCTTGTGGCCGTCAACAAGCCAGACGCTCTGCTCCGAGTCCCAGTCCAGGCGGTGGATGGCCCAGTCGCGCCAAGAAACAGGCACCGTACCGTTCTGGGTAGACTGGTCGATGGTGTTGCCGCTGTCGTCAAAAGAAGGCTGGTTCGTGTACTGGATCCTGTTGTCGGGGTCCTTGGTCAGGACCTCGATATCGGCTTCTTGAACGTCGGCATACTTTTCGGCTTCGCGGTAGGTGAATAAGGCCGTGCAGGCGCCTGGGTCGCCGATGGTGCGGGCAAACATGCGGACCGAGACGAAGTGGTAGCCCATCGACACAGACTCCATCTCGGCAGAGGTCTGGAAATCCTTGAGGCGCGCGGTGCGGAAGCTCATGTAGGTGTCAGACTGGGGGTTGGAGTCGGTGTTCTTCTCGATGTAGATGTTGTTAGGGGAGTTGACCATGCTGATGGTGGCATCGTTGCCGCTCCTGCCCCTGTTGCCGCTGTTGTTCCAGCTCTGGATAGACCATATTGACGTCCACGCATCAGACTTGAAGTAATCTGATGTTACCGAGGCATTGCCGCTGTCGTTGTAGCTGGTGATGATGTCAGGGACACCGGCGTACTGGCCGAGGTTGCGGAAGTCGTAGAACAGATGGTTGGTGAAGTAGCTCTCGGAGGTGTTGGTGAGAAAGCAGTTGCAGACATCGTCCGCCACGACGGGGTGGTCATCAGCCACAGCCAGAGGCAGGAGGGCGAGGGCCAAGCCCAAAATAGATGACCTCGTTGACGGCATGGTTGTGTTTGTCTGAGAGAGTGAGTGGCGTGCGGCTCTGTCGGGGACGGGATGAAAGAGAGAAGGCGGGGATGGGATGATTTAAAAAGAAGAGGTGACAATCCATCGATGTCTTGGCCTGGGATGGTGTTGCCGTAAACACATCCCCAAGCAACGGCGCACCGGAATGTGAGACGCGATCGTGCGTTGTTGTTTCCTTCCAAATGTCATCGAGCCACTAGCTGGCCAGACCATCGCCCCGGCCGAACAAAAGCATAGCAGATCGAGTGACCAACAGGTCGAGAGCTACTGAGGATCGCGCGAGATCCCTACGAAAACGGCGTCGGGAGCTCCTTGGCTAGCGGCCACTTGGTCGCCATGATTTGAGAACGCTGCAGAGAGTTCAGGCTTAGCGTCAAGAGTGAGCTGTTGCAGCGGCCAGCGCGACTGGGCAATGGCGATCCCGTCATACCCGTTAGGGACCGGGCGGGAAGCTTAGAAGCGGCGGAGGGCAGAGAGGAACGAAGAAACGAGCCTTGACTAAGGGGAGGAGCAATTTGGCACACCAAGGCTCAACCTAAACGGCCGGATGCGGTGTGTGTTGCTCAGTCGCTCTCTTAGCGTTGTCTCGTGGAGCTTTCCGTGTCGCCAGGCTTCTAGGCGGCGGGTAACAGGGACGACGGCGGCACGGGTGTCATTGAGCTATTTGTGGGTTGTAACGGGAGGCCTGCGGTGGTGTTTAGAGGCTGTGCGAAAGGAGGTCATGACCGTGGACTGCAACGCTATCTCTGAAGGGCCGATGTCCTTGTTGTGATGAGAGATGGATGAGAGATGTAAATGAGAGGACCTGACGCTGCTAGCTCGCGGCCGAGGTCAGTGCGGTACGATGCTCCAGGCCATGTGGAAGTGAGTTGTTTCGTCCAATCAGGAGGGTGGTCTGGGCCCCTGCCAACTCAGTTCACGACTTACACCAGCTACAGGGCTTAGAGCAGACGATGGTGATTTCATGGGGAGGATTAAGACTGTGCTTTGTTTATTACTAAAATATAATGAGAAAGAAGCGTAAGGCCAGATGATTATACCGTGTCAAATAAGCTTCTCCGGGAATTCCCGTGAAGGAATCACGATCTGATCGGTAGCCAGCTGAGCTGACCCTAAAGCATTTGAAGAACCATTTTTGATGAGACCAACAATGCTATCTATTCACACTTGACATTTTCTCCGGAAAGTATTTTGCTCAACTTTTACCGGAGCAGACAACATTGTGGCCAGTTGACATTTCCAGCCCATCGGTACATAAGTATGAATCCTCATCAATCAGGTTCTCCAAACTTTTGTGGCTCATATAGGCCCGAGTTTGAATGAGTCTTGCCCACTACTTTGAATTTGATGGATCGTCTCTAAAGCTGGCCGAGAACTCTGAGAACTGCCGCCTTGACCAGCCGTGCTGGTAAGGGACGGCTGCTGTCCCTTGGAAAGGTCATTATGCCCAAGTCTCGCCATGTCCCAACGGCATCTTTTGCCTTTTTCAACTTTGGTAGCTTCTGATCTCTCCGAGTCAGGCAATCCCTCAATCATCTTCTCGGCCAGCGTTCTCCTCCTGCGCTCTCTCTTGACTGCCTGGGCGTTGAATGCGTCTGGCAATGTCGATGTAACTGTGAAACTGTTAGGTAAGGAAGAGCCGAGAGGTGAGTCCCCATACCAGTTCGCGGGAAGTCTCTTTCCAACTCATTCAAGTCGAATGCTTCTTTTTCAATGAGGCGAATACCACATAGCAGGGAGATATCCTCTATCGCCTCAACGTCGAAGAACGAGTCCTGATGCTCTGTGAACACATCCATTTCGAATAGGTACTCTTTGCTCAAGATGACGTCTGCAGGAAGACCATCTAGTACGTGAAAGTCGCATCGGACAGTCCTATCACCGATGGTCCATGTAGCATCACTGACAGTGCCACAAGTCCACGCTCTCGTGCCATCTGCGAGCTCGACTTCCGTGCGATGTTCTCGTTCCGTACTGATTGCCCATTTGTGAAGCTGAGCGTACTTTAAAGACACGGCCATCAAATCAGACCCTGTGTCGGCAAGTGCCGTAGTCAGGCGACGATTGAGAAAGCCCATCATACGCTCTTTCTTCTCTCCCATGAGTCTCAATTGAGGCCTGGACGGGATGATGGCTTTCTAAGCATGGCGGAAGAACTTAGTCAGAGCTCCTGTCATTTTCAAGAACCGACTTCCTAAGACGAAGTCTTTGGAAGAATTTGGCAGAATCCAACATTTCAAGATGTGAGGCGTCTGGTCATTCGCAAACCGCCAGAGCACCTCAATCATCCCTGGCGACCAAACCTTCTTCCCGTTTGCAAGAGTCATCATCTTCTCCGTGCCAGGAACTGTACTTTGGCCCAGTTTGGAGGCAAAGTCGGATGATACGATGCATTCATCAGAACCAGTATCCGGTGATGCCTCGATTCCTATGCCATTGACGCTTCCCTCCACAATATAATCCGTTACCCCTGATGAGAATTGGCTTTTCTTTGGTGCTGATGATGACTGGCTCAGAAAAAAGTCGTTATGTTCGTGTAAGAGTGTGCGATGCAGGGCGATCAAGGCCTGCCACTGTTCGTTGTTCAATTTTGGGCCCGTCTCGATTGTAGAGCTTTGCGCGTTGTCAACCTCTATACACTTGCTCTCGACCATTACAAGACCAGCGTAGATTCCCTTGACCTCAGCAACCAGCTGCTCTTGGGTAATCGGCCTGGTCTCTGGCTGTTTGATCGGGACTTCGGTCTGGTCCATCTCAGGCGAGCGTGGCTCGAATGTTCGGCTGCTCCTCGTCGGTTGTGATGATTCTGCATCGTCCGTCCGCTTGAGAGGTTCCTCGTCAGGTCTCCAGAGCTTCCCTGCTTTAGCGGTTGGGTCTTGTTCAGTATCATCTTCGGATGTGCGAGCATTCCTGGTATTTGTAGGGGCGCAGGTCCGTCTTCGCCCTGGAGGTAGGTCATCGTTTTCCCGCTTCAAGGAGCGGTTTGAAGCTGGTGATTTGAGTTTTCTGAGTCTATCGCTATTTTCGTTTTCGGTATGTGACTTGACGGCGTCCCGATGGATCATGTTCTCCGGATGTGATCGTTCCTGGCGCCTTGAGGCATTGGCGTAGTCTTCGTCTATTACCACGGCGGGAATAGACATGATTCTGGGGCGTTGGGAATCTTGATAACTTATGAGTGAGAGTAAATTTGGTAGAATCGCTTAGGAAATCATGGACGCCTCGAGGCTTAGAGTATCGGGGTAGTGGATGGTAGTTATGCCGCTTGTCTGGCGAAGAGCCTTGAGCTTGGCGTAGGTATATGCCAACGATTCTTGTTGGATGACCTAAATACTGAGACACCACAGCCTCAATTTGTGCACTTTGAGCTGCCACGTCAGATACGGGGTATGAGACTCGGCGTGATTGGCGGCTCAGCCTCTCCAGGCTGAATCTGGGTATTTTAAGTGGTCAACTTCCCAGCGATTTGGCTTTCTGATCTGTGCCCTTCCGAGATCCATGTCAAAAGGCAAATGCCAACCACCAGGCGGCGAGCCGCCCAATCTACCTTAGGCGGACCTGTTCTTCCGTAATGCACCGAGAATAATCCTCATCAAGACTACAAAGTAAGATTTACGAGGTTGTCACTTCATACAATAGCAAATACTGGATAAAGACTCCCCTTCTTTGCGTACTACAGTATTGATTCAAACAAAATGGCGACCCCAAGGATAGGGTACGCCGAAGCGGCAAGCTGGATGGCGCGAGATGTCGACAACGAGACACTGGTATATCGCCGTTCCGATGAGCTTGCCACCAGAAATCTGCTCTATCTCCAGTCCGAATTGCTGACTCTCGAACACCAGCTTGATGAGCTTGATAGAGAGGACGCTGAAGACGAAGATATGGACTGGCAAATGGTAGTGTGTGACTGGGAAAAGTTGGGCGAAATCGTACATGCATCAGATGCAAGTACGGCAGACAACATGCAGGCATCAAAAGCCAACATCCGCGCGGAGTTAGTCGACAAACTACGCCGGAAATTGGAGGAATATCGTGAGTTTATGCGTAAATCCCGCCTTTCATCTTGTCAGCAAACTCATAATTACATAGACAAAACCTTACTTCGGCAGAGTGAAATCGCAAAGCTCAAAAGACCGAATGATCGCGTTCTCAGCGCGTTTAAAGCCTGGTTCACAGGGGTGAGCGAACTCAGCGGAAGAGAAACAGAAATCCTCAACGATGCCAACGACCTCGTCGCCCTGAACCCAGCCCAAGAAACAGACTACTTGTCAGAGTGTCTCAGAAGAAAATGGCCAATCAAGGTGATTCACAGGTAACGACACAATGACACTTCACTGACTCTTTTCTAGGCAGATGCTAGGGAGAATGGAGTTCAAATAGGAAGATATGAGGAGCATTCAGTATCTGTTGCAGTTGCGCTGATCAGCACACTCATCGCGGCCATTCTCCTGATAGGATCAATAACAGGGCTCTATTTCGTCGAAAACGACGCAGCCAAGCTTGGCCTCATCGCGTTCTTCACATCCCTATTCGCCCTGAGCGTCGGGCTGACGACGAACGCGCGGAGGGCGGAGATATTCGCTGGAACCGCAGCGTAAGTCAAGCCTCGTCACCACTTGAGAAATACCAAGCTAACGTCCCTTTAGATACGCCGCGGTGTTAGTAGTTTTTGTGAGTGGCGACCTCTCGAGCTCGCAGGGTTCATAAAAGGGGGGGATTTTCGGCCAGCCTCAAAGCCAGGCAAAACAATCAAGTAGACAAGGTCAATGAATCAAAAAGATTTCCCACTACGAGATTCGAACTCGTGTCCCCGCGGTGAAAGCGCGATATGCTAAACCTCTGCACCAAATGGGAGTTTCTATCCATTGTTGAGAGGAGCAGGAACGACGGCAGTCATGGAGCTCTCTGGGCGCGCGGGACGTGCGATTAGATCAGAGAGGTTGCGGTGAATTCATTTTCATTCGTTTGCTTCCTGTCATGGATGCCTAGCCGGGCTGCACTTGCCCGAGACACGGTATCAACTCCCAAATCATCTCTCACGTAACTCCAACAGTGAACTCCTCCAGCAGCGTCAACTCGTTAAACTCCTCAATGAGCCTGTCCACCCTCGCCGCTTCTCGATCCCTCACAGCAAGGTTGAGATCCGTGACGAACAACCCCGTAGCAGATACCGACTGTCCGCTACTCCTCTGACTGTCCGTCGCGCGAAACTCTCGCCATATCGCATACCCCTCTGCGGGATTCAGCGTCCCCTTCTTGACCGCCATACCCAGCAGGCCCTGCGCAATTACACCGGCGACGGCGAAGGACCGGTAGAGACCCAGGTACGCATAGATGCATTTGAAAAAGTAGTGCCGTCCATCGGGATCGCTTGCGTCGTTTGCCGCGGCGTTTGCCACATGCAAGAGGGCTATGTGCCAGAAGATGGAGTAGGTCCTTTGAGGTAATGTCATGTACGTGTCTACCAGGCTTTTAAGCTGCTCGAGAGAAGCGGCGAAGATGGACGGTACAGCTGGCGCAGACGGCGACCACGAGTTGATTGTGTGCTGCTGCTCGGTGGGGATGAACGGCCGGAAGAGGTAGAGGATTGTGCCGTGGAAGAGCATGCTACAGACGGTGAGTCTAGGCTACGTGCGGCGTCAGCCATGGGTGACGTACTGGCAAACGAGCACATGGCCAGGGCTGTGCTCATTACGGGTTACGCCTTCGGGCAGGTTGGCTGCCCACGACAGCAGTTTTTGGTATTTTTGTAGGGCGAACCCCTTGGCGGCCTTCCCAGGGCCGGTATCATGCTGATAGTACCAGGTTAATCGGGATGAGATGACCCATAGCTCGCAAAGGGCTGCGAACGTTGCTGCCCCTCGTGGTGGTTCGCTTCTTTTCCTACGAGAACCAGAAGCCTCGGAATCGGGGGGACTCTCACTTCTGGTACCAGCATGTACGATTGGATCCTTCCCAGGTATTGGAAGAGCTGGCGGATACTCGGTAGTAGCTGGCAGATAGAATTGTGAAGCCATGCTATTCCCATTATTAGGGAATACTATTGTCGCAAGGGTGGTCTTCTCCGAGACTCACCTCAGATTGCTGAAGACCCCCCAGGCGACCTGTGCTTTCGCCCTTGCGTCTTCCTCGGAGAGTTTGCCGAGGTCTTCGGTCGTGCAGGAATCAGGGGTGCCGAAGAGCTTCATGCGTTTTGCCATGGCTGCTGTGTCTTTGATGTACTGAACGTCGAGTTCGCCGTCGCCGTTGCAGCCCACAGACTGAATGAGGAAAGCCAAGGCCGCAACGGTCGTCAAGGAGTCTTCTCGATCTGCGCGCCATAACCTATCAGCTTCTGCCTGGAACTCGTGGCTCCAACCAGAGGCGGCAGGGTCGTATGCTGCATACGCTTGCTATTCAGGAGTTAGCTGTGGTCAGACTGGAAAGGGATGCCAAGACTAACGCAAGCAAAGGCGAGAAGGGCGCTGACAAGCAGCGGAGAGCAGAATTGGTATTCGTAGTGGGTGAGATCATGCACAAACAGTTCGGTGTCAAACAAGCCTAGAATGGCATGGTCTGTCTCGAGGTAAAGTGAGATGACATTGGCAGCAACATCGCTTGGTATGGACACGGCAGTCCAGTGTGTAATGTCGAGGTCTTTCAGGCGCGAGTCGGTCTGGATTGGAGGAGGGCGGATGGACTCAACCGAGAAGACGCTGGACGTGCTCGACGGAAGGACCATGGACTCGTTGGAGGTTTCTCCCGATGAAGAACCGGCCACGGACACGTTGCTGAATACCGTGCTCGGTTCAGGCGATGACGAGGCCGAATCAGACGCTTCAGTGATCCGACGCATTTTGGACGGTCTGGAGTCTGTGCTCTCTGGACTGGAGAATCGAGGGGCGTTTCCTGAAATAGGGTACGCAGTCGGATAGTCTCTCATGAGTTCAAACTCGACATTGGTGTGCAGCTGAGGCAGAAAGCGTCGAGGATCAAGGCCGGACGGGGTGATGGAGCGAAGAGGAGCGTTTGGGTCGACTGCGAACTTGAATTCCTTCACGGTCCTCGCCATAGCCTCGGGTGACATGTAGCTGAGCTGGGCCAACATTGACTCGAGAGCCTGGTTTTTGCGCTTCTGGACCTCATTCTCGCGCTTGTTAGCTTCGTTCTCGGCCTTGAGAGCCTGATTCTCGCGCTTGAGAGCCATTGCGGGCGTCTCCTTTTCGTCTACACTGACGTAGGCGCATGCCACGTTCAGCTCGACACACGATGAACACTCGGGTCTCTTGCCATCGCACTAAAGGTAGATCTGTTAGTTGACTTTGAGAGGAAGACTACGGGGCGGCCCGGTGCTTACAGCCTTTTTCTTGGCACGACAGGCATTGCATGCAACTTTTGTCGCCGTAGCACGTTTCCGAGAGGGGGCAGGCGGTGGACGTGATAAAGCTGGGAGGGGGGTTTTTGGGGCAGGAAGCAATCGACGGAGACTCTGGTCAGGCATGATTCCGACTGGGTTTGCATCGATGCCCTCGGCTGGGACAAGGAGTTGCTGCTTCAACAGCAGTGCTCGTACGACTTGGGAAGGGGTTCACGATGGAGCGAATTCGCCCAAGGTACCAGAACGGGCTTCAGTCGTCGTGATGGGGAAAAGAGGGGTATTTGGCATGAGGGGAGGCAGCATAATAACCGAGGAGGCGAGCAGAAACAAAGAGCACACGATCGTCCGTATACCGCGCAGGATGGAACCCGTGTCGATGAGTCCCAACTGACGCAGACATTGGCTGGGACGATGCAGCGACGGCGAGGATTTGCGGCTCCCCGCGCAAGATCATCAGCGGTGGTGCGGACGATGCGGCGGACGAGGCGGATGATGGCGGAGATGAAGGGCGGGCAGAACGAAGACGGTGAGACTAGGAGGGCGGCAGAGGCTCAACGGTTTGGGAGGGAGTGAGACGACGGCGTAGGAGCGGCGTAGGAGAGATAACAGCAGGTCAATCGTCAAACAGAGAGGACGGCAACCATCAGGAGGTAAGAGATGCAGAGGGAGAGGCAGAAGAAAGCTCTGTTCGGCTGGCTGGGTGCAGTGTGAGTGTGGTAGTAGTAGGGCAAACCAGAGTGACAGAGACAGACAGACAGACAGACGAAGGAGAGAATCCGATCCGTCCCTGGAAAGGACCGGACGTAGCTCCGTCGACTTCCATCAGGTTCCGACCAGTAAGTGTGATTTTAATCTGCCCACCTCTGTCGTGCCCTCTTTCGAGTCTTGCATTGCCTGCCGTGTACCAAGGCATGCACCTCAGCAATAGGCCAGGCCGTACAGTGTTGCAGTCTGTCTCTACCAGGTAGGCGGACTCTGCGGGCAGCAAATCCATCAGACCCAACCCGACTACAACTGCCCATCCCACTCCCGCCCGCCTTCCCACGTCCACTTTCCGTATTGCCACCAGCCAGAGAGAGGTCTAGGTCTGGGTCTGGCCAGCAGAGTGCGTGCCTGCAGCAGCTGTGCGGTCCATCGTCACTTTTGGACTAGGTTCTGACAAGAAAAGGACACTGGCCCCACACGGTGCCACTAGATTCGCTGCGTCGGTCTCGGCACAGTGCGCACGGACAGTGCCAAAAGTGGTGCTGTGGTGGCCGTGGCCCCCGCCCCCTAACCCTGGCCCTCCTTCACCTGGAGCCTTCCAGGTCGAGTGCCCTGGCTGGCTGGCCTTGAGGGGGCCTTGCCGCCTTGGGCCTTGGGCCTTCCCCTGTCCGCCCGCCCAGCCCGCCGTCAGTTCACAGGATTGCAACTGCGGAACCCCCATGCGGCCCATCACCGGCGCGGCGTCTTCCTTGTATCCAAATTTCAGGTGATGCACTCATCCGAGCACTGGGTCTGCGCGACCTGCCAACCAACCTCAATCTCTGCCTTGTCTTCTCCCACCACCCCCAGCACGCGCGCGCACTCTCCCATTCCGTTCGTCGACCTCTTCACCACCAAGCTATGAGGGTCCAGCCAGGTCGACAGACTCTTGTTACTCGGTGACAGACAACTGACTTACTTCGCGACACACCATCGAATTAAACCCTGCATTCCATCTCCCTTTGAAACCATGGCGTCAGAGTCGCCGCGACCCGCCTCCCCGCGCGAGGCTGATCCCGAGCAGAGCACGCCTGCGGATGCCCCGGCCGACGACAAACGAAGCTCCTCTGCAACGCCAGACGATTCTCGCGACGGCGGCGACGATGACAAGGCTGCCGCGAGTTCCCCAGAGTCGGGCGAGGCCAGCGAGGGCGCGTCCCCCGCGACCGCCGACGACGATGCGCCGCCTCTCCCCAACGAAGCCCCGCCGCTGCCCTCAGGACCGCCTCCCGCCGCCGAAGACGACGGCTGGGACTTCCAGTGGGATCCAACCTCCAACGCATACTTCTTCTTCAACCGCTTCACGGGCAAGACGCAGTGGGAGAACCCGCGCGTGCAAACCGGCGCCGCCGCGGCCTCATCCTCAACCGACACGGGAGCAGCTCCCGGCACCACCGCGACCGCCGCGCCTCTCCCGTCAGGCCCTCCGCCTCTACCGGCAAACGACCGACCCGCCGCGGGCGGCTACAATCCCGCTATCCACGGCGACTACGATCCGAACGCGTGGTACGCGCAGGGAGACAAGACGAACGAGGACGAGGCGCAACAGACCGCCGCGCTCGCGGAACAAGGCTACGGCGCAATGGCACAGTTCAACCGCTTCACCGGACAGTTCCAGGCGGCGGGCGACGGGCCGGACCGGCACTCGGACGAGGCCAAGAGCAGACGGCAGATGAATGCCTTCTTCGACGTCGACGCCGCGGCCAACTCCCACGACGGGCGCAGTCTCAAGGCCGAGCGCAGCGGCAAAAAGCCCACGAAGCAGGAGCTCAAGCAGTTCAAGGAGAAGCGACGCGCCAGGAAGGAGGAGAAGCGCAGGGCCTGGCTGCGCGATTGAACGAGACGACACGCAACGGGGGGTTCTGTTTCTACGGTCTTTGGTTTGCAAATTTGCTTTTGAAAAATATCTTGGCTCACACATGGAACGGGGGTTTGGTGGAGAACCTCTTCACTGGGCGGCGTTGCGAGAGGCTATCGACGGGATTGCCTTGGGATCTGCATTTCTACACTTTACGCCCGTTTCTCACGCGGGATACGCTTTACATACTCCGAGAATAGTCAACGGCCTCGTGGCCCTGGATACTGCGATTTCACAGTGTCGTGTAAACAGAATACAGCTTAGACCACGGCGTCGCGAGCTCGCACATTTTTTTCCAAATTATATACCCTGGCTTCACAGGTCGAAATGCTGGAATCTCCCTCGGGGGTATCATGCCCATCTGCACTTGAAATGACACGAAATAGAAAGATGGTCTGGCCTACTCTTCATCCTCCTCCTCATCGTCGTCTAAATCCATGTTCAAGTGGACACTCTCGTCGTCACTGTCGTCGTCACCCGCCTCATCGGGCTTAGCAACCGGCTCGGGCACGACGGCCCGCTCCACCTTCCTCTCCACGCTCTGCCTCTTGGGCGGGCTGGCGTCGCTGGCGTCGAGCTTGCGCTTCTGCGCGGACGACACAGCGAAAGGGTTCGCGACCTCCGCCGGCGCGGCGTTGGCGTCCTTGGACGTCTTGAACGGGTTGCTGTCGTCATCGTCGGCGACGACAATGGTCCCGGCCGCCGCGGACGCGTCCTTCATCTCCTCGTCCTGCGCGACCTCGATCTCGGAGACGATCTCTTCCTCGCCGTCCTTGGCGGCCTCCTCGGCCTCGAGCTCCGCGAGCGTCGCCGTCGCGTTGGCGCCGAAGTCGTCCGCGGGGGTGGGTGTCTGCGTCGAGGTGCGGATGTTGGAGCGCAGGATCTCGACGCCCTTATCGTTGGGGTACTGCTGCGACAGGTAGGGGAGGATGCTGGGGTACATGGCGCCGGCCTGGTTGACGTAGGGGTTCAGGACGCTGGCGAGCATGGCGTCCTTGTTGCGGGAGAGGATGGCGGTCTGGTCGAGCAGGCCGCGCAGGCCGGGCTTGAGGTGCTGTTGGGGCAGGTGGCAAAGGAGGCTGGTGAGGAGGGTCTCGGCGGCGGCCAGATGGTCCTTGGACAGGCTGGGTTTTGAGGACGACTGGGCATCCGACGTTTGCGAGGGGAGGAAGAGGTCCGCATTTGCTGCGATGCCGTTCTTCTTGGTGTCTGCTCCGTTCTTGGTCGCCGCCTTGGTCTCCTTGACGTAGCCTGTCTCCTGCTGGATGTCACGACAGCAGGCGAGAATGATGACTCCGAGAGTCTCGACGGTGAGCTTCTGCAGGCCGGGACCGCATACGGGGAGGGTCTCGTTGAGGAGCTTGTAGGCGGCGAAGCGCACTGAGGGGATGTTGATGCCGGACTTAAAGACGAGGAGGAGGTTGTCGTAGATTTCCGGGGCAAGGGGGAGGGAGTTGTTCTCGAGTCTTTGGGCCAGAACCAACAAAAGATCGAGCGCAGCAACATGAATGTCCGGCATCACGGCCCACAGCTCCTCCTTCTCTTCTCTACCAACGGCGGCCTGCGTTTCGAGGGCCTGATCCCAGGATTGCGACTTGGAATTGCGGCTGATCAACGACACTCGGGAGACCACGTCCAACAAGGCACCGACGGGCACGGTGACGGATGCTTTCGTAGTGTAGCGAAGGGAATCTGTGAGGTACTCGAGAAGACCGACGAGTCTATCGCGGCCAGCAGAAATTCCGGTCCAAGGGGGCAACTGGGCTGCTCCCTCGGCTCCAGCCGGGGGTGCGTCAAAGTCAACCTTGGAGCGGGTGTACGGAGCAGATGATTCCCACGATTCCTGCACCGCGCGGAAGACCTGGTCGGCGCTCGAGTGGAAGTCCTTTCTCAACTCCTCGACCAACTTGTTCCAGTCGTCAGTAGGTCCCGTCTTGCCGGCAGTGGTGAAATGGAGCGAGAGCGCCAGATGTCTGCTGGCGCGACGCAGAGGCTGGGGGATCGTAATTCCATCCGAGGCAGTTGGCGCCAGGTAGGGCCGGATGGCAGTCCTGGTCTGGCCGTTGAAGGGGCGTGACGTGGTTGGGTACAGGGGGGTGAGAGTTGAGAACGCATCCAGGATGGTCTCGACAACAACGAGGGGCGTCTTGAGGCGCTGGCCAGCTGGTGGGAGCTTGATCAGCTGCAAGCATGCGTTGAAGAAGGTCGGGATGGTGGGTGTTGCGATTTCTCTGGTAAGAGTCTGGTAGTCGTGGATCAGAGAGTATATCCTGACGAGAGTGACAATTGCAACCTCCTTTACTGGGAAGGGGTCGTTCTTCTGTGACCTGTTAGTGATTGGACCTACGAACATGCAACATACTGACCTGAATCATAGTCAAGAGGCTGCGAACCCAAGGACCAGACTCCTTGAGACACTCCCATCCGCCGACATCAACGACTGCCTTGACGAGAGTTGCGCCAGTGAAGCGTCCCATGGCGCTCTTGCCATTCAGAAGAGTCGTAATGATGGTCCTCAACTTGTGGACCAGAGACGCGGTCTCGGATGAGGCGGCGTCCTTGGACTTTTGGTCCTGGGGCGCAGAGAGAACATCTTTGCAGCGGAGGACGTGGTTGATGAAGGCCGGTATCGAATGAGGCAACTGGGCGGGTGGTGTTGAGGTCAAGCGGCGACAGAGCACCTTCAGATCGGGGGGGAGAGACATTGTGACTGAACCTCGGACACTGGAAAAGATACAACGACCCAATTGAGTCTCCAAGACAGTTTTCGAGGTCTGCCGACTTGACAAACGATGAGCACTGTCTTCGTTTCACAGGCTGTTGATGCTGAATGAAACTTTTTTTTCTGTAAGTGAAAAGGGTACATTTCACATGTACCGTTGACTCCACGGCTGCTGTCGTCTGATTGGACAAGGAAGACTCCCTGGTCTGTTATGTAAGGGGCATAACGAACACAAAGATACAATGGTACAAAGGGCCTTTCACAGGCACTGACAGGATCCCCTGATCTTCACCCGTTTACTGGCCCGTGCTCCCTCCAGGGACCTCGCAGTCCTTGGAGGTCCAGCCCACCTCACCGTCATTTTTAGTGCAGCGAGTGGCAGCAGCAGCAGCACTACAAGCGTGTCATATCGCGTTCGCTCCCAATCACTTGTGCAACGTGCTTTCTCCTAATTAAGCCATTTCTCGGCTCCTAAACATCGCCAACCACCGCCGGCCCCCCTGCTATCTTCAACAAAACATGCTGTATGCCCAGATGCCGTGCTAGTAGAACTGGTTCTCATCTTCCCCCAAAAATTGGCACTGGCCGAGGCATCGCAAAATGGCTGTGAGTGCGCTTTTCCCAGGGGCTGTGGACTGACCGCCCATCCCATGCCCCCAACCCATGACGTCGAAGCTGTGTGTGCTGGACATTTTGGACTGACCACATGTTTGTCTTTGTTCGTTGCAGCCCGACCCGAACAAGGCCGCCCACTACATCAAGGCCCTCGACGATGCGAGATGCGACGGCAATTGGAGCGCTGTTCCCGAGTTCGTCCGCAAGATCAGGAAACATGCGCCTGACCGAACCTGTCGGTGCCCTCGAACGAAACCTGCATACGCGGCCCCGTCCACCCTACTGACTTCGAGTCCCCTACAGGTCTGACCTTGGCCGCCGAAACCGAATGCGCAATCGCAAAAGCGACCGATCCCTCGGGCGCGGGCCGACCAGCAACTGCCGTATCCGCGAAGGATCTCGATGCTGCGAATGTCATCACGAAGCTCGAAGCCGCCGTCGACGGAGAGTCACGGTTCCCAGAGGACAGATTCCAGGCTCAGGTCTGCGCTGGCTTGCTGCATTGGGTGGTTGGCGAGTTCGATCAGGCTGCCGCGAAGCTGCCATCGAACCTTGAGCAGGAGCTTGCGCAGCTCAGCTCCACCGATACGCTCTCCGAATGGACCAACATCAGCGCATTGAAGGCCGCGTTCATCAAGGCCAACTGCCTGTCACGGAACAATGAGACCGCTGAGGCTCTGGTTGTTTTTGATTCTGCGCTGCCATCCGTTTCCGCACCCTCGGCAACCCGCAACGCCCACAAGCAATTCAGAGTATGGTCGGAGCTCTTCCTGACGGAATACTGTGTGCTGCACAGCCTAGCTCTGCGCTCGAACGAGAGGTCGCTGGAGGATTCCAACTCACTCGCCTGCTTCCGATCATGGGCCAGATACTGGGAGTCGATGACGGGACCTGTCACAGGAGGCTATGGATATAGGGGTTCCGTGCCAAGGCGACAGGTGTGGTTAGAATACTACCTGGCTCTCACGAATATTCTCGAGCTGGATCTGCCCTACCCGACAGGGTTCCTCGGCAAGATCACCAAAGAATCCTCAGCACGGAACCAGATGAGAATCGAGCTCAAGAAGACTGAAGCCGCATACCAAGCCCTCCTGATCGGCGAGACCACCTTCCCTAAAGCCCACGAAACCAGGGAAGAGGTTGAATCATTCGTTAGGACTGTCGTCGGCAACTGGTCTATCCTTTGCGGCCGCGGTTGGAAAGAACAGGATCTTGGTCAAGGAGGACGCGAGAGCCTCAGCAGAGGCGTTCTCGATACTCTATACGACTGCGCAACCAAGACGTACCACTCTACTGCCATTCTCCGCTGTCTGTTTACGGTTCATCTTGCGGTGGCCGAGTTTGACCTTGCTTTCAAGGCCTTCGACTCATACCTGGATCTGGTTAAGCACGGCAAGGCCAGAGTCGACAAAACGGGCCACCTCGAGGCCAACCTCGACGACGACGGGACGGTGCTCGAGACAATGTCGCAGTGCATTCTGGCTTTGTGCCGCTACGGTGGGAAAGACGCCGTCGAGAAGGCTCGTGACATAGGTAATGTGCTCGAGGACTGGTTGTTCAGACTGCCGCAACTGAAGAATGGTGTCGAGAACGAAAACAGTGTCCCAGAAGAGGATGAGACGACTACCATCCACCCCAAGATCCGCCCGCACCTGATTGCGCTGTCGTGGCAAGCGATTGGTCTCTCGCAGGCCCACTGGTCGAGAATCACCCACGACGCAGCGTCACGAACCGAGATTCAAACAAAGGCGATCAGGTGTCTGAGAAAGTCGCTTTCCCCAGAGCTGGGGCGCACTAGAGATGTCCGCAGCCTCTTCGCCCTGGGTCTTTTGTTGGCCGAGCGGCGGGAACTTACCCCCGCAATCGACATTGTGAAGACAGCTCTGATATCCAACAAGTCTGCAGACGAAGAGCATAGCCTCTATCACGGCCCCTTCTGGCAGGAGCGCTCTCTAGTTCCCCTCTGGCATCTCTTGGCCCTCCTTCTGAGTGCGAGACAGGAGTATAGCATGGCTGCCAAGGCCTGTGAGGGTGCTTTCGAGCAGTTCCGTGACCCCTCTGTCCTATTTGGACGGCAGGATCTCCACTTCAAGAGTGAGCATCTGAATGATGCCGAGGCTCAGGACGAGAAGATTGCCAACGAACGTAAGGGGGCTGTGGACGACATGGACGACACGGAGCGAGAGAGCATTCTCGAGGTCAAGATGACGCAGCTCGCACTGGTTGAGCTTCTCGAGGGTCCTGATGTGGCTGTTAACGCAAGCTCCGAACTGTTGTCGCTGTTCAACCGGCTTTTCGGAAGCCTCGAAGCCAAATCTACGACGCAACCGCCCAAGACGGGGGCCACAATGCTCCCACCAAAGAGCTCAGCAGGCACGTTGAGGAGTCTTAAGGGCAGCATCTTCGGTTCGCAACGAACGAGGAGGGCAAGCATAGCGGAGACTGAGAGGACTGCGCGCCCAATGACTACTCAGACCTCTGCAAGTATCGCGCCGACCATCCAGGTCACTCAGGAGAACGGATCGCCAAACGAAAAGCGATCGCGCAGACTCTCCAGCGTCACCCGCCGGGCAAGAAGCGAGTCTGGCAAGAGGCACAGTCTTCGCAAGCGTGATAGCAGCGGCGGCCGCAAGAGGACATCAAGTGTCAGTAGCGCAGGCACGAACCCTCACGCGCCAACTGTTCTCGATGGCGAGGTGTATTTCACTCCCGCGGACGAGCTGCAACAAAGCGAGTTTCCGCTTGGAAACCGCCAGGCCTCCACGGCATCATCCATCTCTCGGGGCCGGTCACTCCATCACCTTGAGTCTTATACTTCTCAGAAGTCACGGTCTACCAACTTTTCCGAAATCTCTGCCAGTGCCACATATACCATCTCGAACCCTCTGCCATTAATACACTTTCCTCAGGACCTGGAGCGGAGACAACGGGCTGCTCTGCTGGTCAAGGTGTGGTTGATGATTGCGGGTTTCTATCGCCGGGCGGGCATGTTTGAGGACAGCAAGGGCGCCATCTCGGAAGCCCAGAAGCTCGTCGGCATCCTCGAAGCCGAGGTTGCCAAAGATCCTACCGGCGCCCTGTCTTTGAAAGGCGATGGCTGGGCGGAAAAGAAGGGGGTTGACGAACTGCTCGGAGACGTTTGGGCGGAGGTGAGTTTCTCTCGTCTGGTATGCTGCACACAATCACTGACAATACACCTAGTTGGGATATCTCTCGTTGGCCAAGGGATCGCCGTACCTTGCGAGATCAGACTTTGAGATGGCTCTCACCCACTTCCCAGATCACGCTGCTGCGATCGTGGGCTTGTCCAACATTCTGCTCGACATTTACACCGAGAAGGTCTTGCCGCCGCCAGCAGTTCCGGTTCTAAGTGTGCCAGAAAACATCTCAAGTCTGTCACTACCAGCGCCAGATCTGCCCAAGATCTCGGTACCGCAGCACGGCCTCCCGTCAGAGCCACTCGGACTGGGCTCCAGTGCGTCGGGCTCAGGCATCGGCAAGACGAGTGCTCATCAGTCAGCAACCACCGCCTCGTCTATCAAGTCCCTGGAAAAGGCGGAGTCGGACGAGAAACTACCCGCGCCGTACAAGGCAGCTTCACTGCCAAAGATTGACCGCCTCGCGGCGCGCGATCGTGCCTACGGTCTCCTGTCGTCGTTGACAAAACTAGGCGTCGCCTGGAACAACTCGGAGGCTTGGTTCGCGCTAGCCCGGGCTCACGAGGAGAGCGGCCAAATCGACAAGGCAAAGGAGGTGCTCTGGTGGTGCGTAGAGCTCGAGGAGCACACGGGCGTGAGGGAGTGGCAGTGTCTTGGAAGCGGCGGATACGTGCTCTAATTACTTGTTGTAATCCGACCGTCTCTGGTCCTGATTCCTGTCTACCCATTTCTTGGTTTACTATTAAGACATACAACGCACTCCAGTAGAGGCCTGCCAACATCCTGGCGGGCCGTGTTTTGTAGCACTATTTGATATCCGGTTACTCTTGGATGCTTCTGCTCGCCTCCATTCCTCACGTAACCAACAGTGTATGGTTGGAATCCCGTTGACTAGGTAGGGCTACGTGCCAACCTTCAACGCCAACGGGCCGTTCTGCACTTCTGCAGTCTCGCGGCCCGCCGCGGCCATCTTGCCTGTAGCTACCTAGATCGTAACCTAATCGAAATGCATTGCTCCCACCGGGCCAACGTCAGGAGATTTTGCGCGATTGAACCGGGGAATGGGTTCAAGCAAGGCCGGAAACCTCCGCCGGAGGTCACTCCTGTCTATGTGCAACTTCCATGGAAGCCGATATCCGAGCGCAGAATTCGACAATGGAAAAACCTTACTTCTGTACACATGCAGGTAGGTCTATGCACCTGTTCTCGC